AGTTAAAAGAGTCTAAAAACCTACAGGACTCGTCTCTTTTTAATAGGTGTTAAATGACTCCAGGTCTTGGAGGCAAAGGGAATCGGTCTTGGGAGGTTGGCAGGAGAAAACTGGGGACTTCTTGCAGCTGTTTTGCCAAGTGGGTGCTCCCAAAATGCTCCCCAGCCACAGCTGGAGCAGCTGCAGCAGCAGGAGGCATTAGCAGGGATGGATAAATTATGTTTGACTTTCCCCATCATTGGAAAAGGGGTTTTCCACAAGGGTAAATAGCCCAAATTTGGGAGAATTGGCCCTCTCTGCAGGCGAGATGCCTACTAAACGTATGTGTCAAGCCCTGTCCCCGTGGTCCCCCATGCCAAGGAGCCCAAGGCTCTTTCAGGTGCTCTCCTGCCATTCAACATCGCCCTCCATCTGCGTCCCAGCCCTCTGCATCACGGCACATGGCCACCGCGAGGCTGGCCACTGCTCGCAGGTGTGTGTCGCCCGCCATCAGCTGTGGAAATCGTTCTGCTTTGCAGAAATACTCCTTGTTCCGCTTGAGAGAAAACCCTCCCTAGCCTGGGGCTTCCCTTCAGCATTTCCATCGAGGAGCTTTTCAAGTTTGGAAAGGCATTTCTTTCCACTTAAAAACTACCCTGGGTTTTAATCTGGCTCTTCCCCACCCCTCAGCACGTGATTTACATGTTTCAGGTTGACCTCAACTGAAAATTTCCAAATGTAATTTTTTTTTTGTGCTCCCCTGACAAACCCCTAGCATTTGCTTTGAGGTCAGTCCTTCCCCTTCCCCTCTTCCCTGCAGGCGGCTCCCTTCCCAGCCCTACGCCAGAGAGGCTTTCCCCGTCCAGCCTCTTCCCAGCACAATGGTGCAAAAACATTGGTGTTTCCTCCCTCCCGGGGTGCGTCGTCACCACTCCCAGAAAATGCCACCAGTGCCAGCTCTGACGGGGTCCACCTGCATGGCAAGGCATCTCAGCCTGGGGTGGCTGGGCAGGCTTCGACCGCACTTCGTGCCTTCCTTGTACAGGCTTTGGAGAGGCTTCTTTTTCCCCCCAGTTTTTTTGCAACTTGGGGATGGCCTAGACCAATGGGTGGAGGAAGTTTTTCCACTGAAAGGTTCTTAGTGAAGTTTTCTTCTGGGAATTTGTCCTGTCGCTCTCTGAACTGGTACAAACCTGTAATTTCAGCTGCTCACGGTGCAGCATTGTCTCCTCGCCCTGAGCTCCTCTGCAAACTATCCTGAGCGAGGGCCTAAAGCAACCTGCTTCATACTGCTGATCTGGGTGGGCTCCCCAAACCTCTGCTACCGCCTAACGTTTCGTGCTGGATAGAAACACTGATCGCCTGACAGGCTGAGGCAGCTGGAAGGAAGTTTAACCCACAGCCATTCACAGTCTGTGCAGAAGGGATGTAGAGCAGCAAAGGCTCGGGCTGTGTCCGGCCACATCTCCTTCCTTGCTTGGCTGTGGCAGCAGTGTCACTCCTGGACGAGAAAAGGTTCAGTCATTTCAGGAGTCGCTTCTCTCTCCCTTTTGATATCCAATCTAGTGCCTTCCTCAGAAACAAGAGATTTTCTTTCTTACCTTTGAAGTTGAAATGTGGTTGAAGTTAGGAGCATGAGGTACATGAATTGCACTGTACATGTATATACGTTACACATGGTCCAGTGCTCAAAAAGGCGTGCAAAAGAGCTAAATGAATTAAACCTTTTTAATTACATTGCTGCATTGTAATTTGCCACTCAAGCTGCTTTGATAACATGCTGTTGATAATATTTACTTGTTGCCAGTGCATTTATTAAAGAGAATTTCTTAGAATCATTGAGGTTGGAAAAGACCTCTATGATTATGATTCTATGAAGTTAGGAGCATGAGGTACATGAATTGCACTGTACATGTATATACGTTATACATGGTCCAGTATTCAAAAAGGCATGCAAAAGAGCTAAATGAATTAAACCTTTTTAATTACATTGCTGCATTGTAATTTGCCACTCAAGCTGCTTTGATAACATGCTGTTGATAATATTTACTTGTTGCCAGTGCATTTATTAAAGAGAAGTTAGGAGCATGAGGTACATGAATTGCACTGTACATGTATATACGTTATACATGGTCCAGTATTCAAAAAGGCATGCAAAAGAGCTAAATGAATTAAACCTTTTTAATTACATTGCTGCATTGTAATTTGCCACTCAAGCTGCTTTGATAACATGCTGTTGATAATATTTACTTGTTGCCAGTGCATTTATTAAAGAGAATTTCAGAGAGCCCAGGGTGCGTTTCCTTCCAGAGGACCATGGGCAGCTTTGAGCCCAACTCAAATGACAGGGTCAGGGGCTATAGAAAAGCAGGTCTTGAGGGGGATGGATTGAAGCTCCCGTTCACGAGCATTTGCTTCCCCAGTGTGAGCCTGCAGGTCACTCAAAGGAATGAGATCCAAGCTGGAACTGAACTGCCTGTTTATTAAGATGTCTATTTAATGTACAGGGTGATCTCAATAAACATCATCACCAAGCCTCCAGCGGGACCAAAACTGGGCTCCGTGCCCATGCACAGACACTTGCTCTGCACCCGGCAAATGCCACCTTGTATACTTGGAAACCCTGTTGGCCAAGGGAGCTGCATATCTGCAGTCGCCCACTGCTGCAAGAGGCATCTAAACCCCCTGGAGACAGCAGCCCTGCCCCGACACACCATGCATTGCCACCCCCCCGGGAACTCCCCTTCCCCGCAGTACCTCCCTTCAAAACAGGCTAAAGAAAGATATTTCAGGTGAACGGAACCTGTTCATGGGGCTTTACACCGTGGTTTCTTCCTGGGAAGGCTTTTTATGACATTGGCTAAAGCCAAGGGCAAGCTCCTCTTGGCTGCGTTCGTGCACGCAGCGTGGTTCATCTCTAGCAGCTCCTGGAAATTTGCAATTGGTTTTTCAAATGGAACACCCTTTCCAAGCAGCTGGACTTTGTGCCCCCACATGCGATGCTCCATCACTGCTCAGTTTAATCAACCACTCTGTTCTGCCAATCGGGTTTGCTGGCAATGCCAGCAAAAGGCAGCTCTGGAGGCCAATGCTCAAAGCTGCAGTCTTCCCAATAGAAGTCTCAAGGTAGAAGGATTTAGCCCAGGGACAGGCATCATCTTCCAAATCTAGCAGGAGCAGCGAAACGAGTGACCGTCCATCCCAACTCCCCAGTGCCGCCCATTGACGGGAAGAGACTGTTCATAGAGCTCACCTGCAGAATATTATTTATCCCTTATCCACATCCATATCAGCTCAATCAGTTGTGCTAAAATCTTAAATTTCTCCAGCTGCTCTGAACTGAACTGGCTCTAAAGATGGGAGGAGCACCAGGGTCGGTTGATGAGATCCCAGGAGTTACATGCTAAGGGAGGAGAGATGTGTGTGTCTGCAGGCAGACAAGGCAGAGGCAGAAGCACGGACAATTATTTGGCAATAAAAATTGATGCCTCACAAATTTATTGCTCTTCTTTGAAGCAGCCAGCAAGCACATGGCTAAGGAAGATGTGGCACATTTTTCTACCTGAATTTCCAAAGGGGTTCACTAAGGTCCAGCAAGGGCTCTTCAAGAAACTAAGCAGCCTCAGGAAGGTCTCATCTAGACAGGTACTGTTAGGAGACAGGAAAAAGATGGGAGGGATAAAGGTTCAGATTTCACAGTGAAGGATTTGTTCTTAGGTTTGTGCTGATCAATGTATTCAACCAATCTGCAAAGCGGAGAAAAAACGGAAGGTGGCAAAGGTTGCTAATGAAAATAAGGGACTCGCAGTGCTAAAGAAAAGGTCTTGCTGATGGTCCTTCTTCTACAGAATGACTGCGGGAGGAAATGCAGAGGGAATTCTTTGGAAATGTTTGCTAAACGCTGCTGATGGAGAAAACAATTGCACCTCTGTATGTATTGCTGGACTCTGAGCCGATTTTCCTCATGGAAACATCCTGGGGTCAGGACAGACCTTTGAAAAGCTCAGCTCAAGGATCAGTAGCAGTCAGGAAAACAAACTGAATGTCCAGAGGTATCGTCAGGAGCCTGGAAGGGCACGGCTGTGTCCGCCAACTCCATGCAACGGGGCTCCACAACCTGAAAAGGAAACGATTTCCAGTGACATGACCTGAACAGCAGCAGGAAGCTCAATAAAGGCCAATTATTCACTGTTTTTTAAACACGTGGCCTAGAGGCATCAGCCAATACCAGAAGTTGCGATGTTCAAGGCACAGAGGAGGAGGTAGCTCATCACGTGCTGGTCCTGAGTGTCTTCTTGCCACAGGGTGCTGCAGGCACTAAAACTTACGGTTCTTTCAGGGGCATCCTTGGCACCCCACACCTTACCTGCACCAGTCTGCTGCTGTCAGACCCCTCCTCAAACACACACTGTATTGCTAACCTGTACAAAAAACAGCCTTGTAAAATAAATTGAGTTGTTTTCTGCCCGTTTAGCATCCTGATGCAGCACCCCAAAAGCAGTCAGGGAGAGCCCGAGGCAGAGCAAGGGCAGGACTGGGGCTGCAGGTCTGGGAGAGAGGAGCATGGCCAGTTCTTCCTGCAGCAGCAGGCAGCCTCGTGGTGTGGCCACCCCTTCAAGCCGCAGCTTCGCACAGTACAAAGTCGTTGAAACAGGTTTATGATAGGTATTGCTATCACCTTCCCCTCTTGGCCACTTGCTTCGTCTCTCCAAACTGTGGAGCTGATCCAGAATTGATTGCAGAGACTGAAGGTGAATTTCTCCAAAGACCAAGCGGCAGCCAGCATAACAAGTTGTTCAGGAAACTAATAGATCAGCAAAAAAGCAATGTACTACTCTATCTGACAGTCTATTCTCCAGTAAGACAAAGACATACAAACACCTAATTGCTTCCTTGTCCTTGTTCGCTTCAAAGCTCTTCTTGTCCCTCCATTTCCATCAAGTTCAACCGTCCCGTGAAATTGCAACCCGCCAGCAAGGACAAAAAGATTGCAGCCCAGCAGAGAGCTGAGCAAACAGCAGTTACACAAACCACTCAGACAGATCGGGCACAAACCGGTACCTGGCCGCCGTTGTCTGCAAGAAGCGACAAGCTCCGCAGACATGCACGGCCCAGCCGGACCTCACTATGGGTTTCAACCACTTGCGCCACTGGAAGTAGCGCTGGTATCTCTCGGCATCCTCGCTCAGGTCCCACAGGTACCGCGCCAGGTCCCCAGCGCTGGCAAAGTCATCGACATGGATGAAGGAGTCAGGGGGCAAGAAGCGCTCGTAGTTTTCTCGAGGAGGCCCCAGCACGACAGGGACGGTGCCAGAGGACAAGGCATTCCTCCAGAGCTTCTCGGTGATGTAGTCTTCATGCTGCGAGTTCTCAAAAGCCAGGTAGAACTTGTACTCGGATACAGTGGGAAGGAGCTTGTCCCGGGGCAGGGGCAAGTGATGCTTCCCATAGATGTCCACAGTGATGTGTTTCTTCAGCTCCTGGTAGTACTTTACCCGGTGGGAGCCTGCTTTCCAGTTGCTGACTACCCAGGCCACCATCTTGGTCTTGGGCGGGATGCTGAGGGGCTGGGGCTGGCCGAGGAGCTGCAGCTCCCCATAAGGGATGTAGATGTCCGAGTCTCTCCGGTAAGACATGGTCAGGTTGAAGACGTTGTCCATGGCGCTTAAGTTTGGAGAGTGACTTGGGGACTCCATGTTGAACCAGATCCAGTGCTGGGAAGGGAGTCTGGGGAACTGGGCCAGCCCCTCCATGTCCCTGCACACATCCCTGTGATGCATAATCACAGCATCAGCCTTTTGGGACCAGCTGCGATTGATGGTGAAATGGCAGTTCGGGATGCTGTAGAGCTTCGAGCAGTTCATGAAGTTAAAGTGGTGCCCAGAGGGCCACTTCCACAGCAGGATAGTCAGCCTGTGTTCACCCTTTGGTGGGGCGCTGGTGTTTCCAGCATGAGCTATTTGTGCAGAGGGATTGGAAACATAATGCTCTCGCTCAGAAGTCCTGAACTGATGAAGAAAAACAAAGAAGGAGCTGAAGATGAAGCTGTAGAGCAGGAAGGTGAGGAGTTTCTTGCAGATCTTCTTCCCTTTCATGAGCTCCATGCATGGATCTGCAAACACCACAGACAGGACAACGAGTGATGGGTGCACACTGACCCCAGCAGGGAGGTGGCTCTGGGTGCACAGTTTGGCAGGGAGGTACGCACAGGAGACAGCGCGAAGACCTGAAGCACATTTACCTCCAGCCACCTCTGCAGAAAGAAAGGTCTCTAGAGTGCCATACAGAAGGCGCTTACACACACACTCACCCACAGGGCGCAGACGCCCTTCCACAGACCCCAGGCTTCCCTCCATCACCACCCCCTGCCTTTCCTCGTCAGCCCCTTCTCCCCCCGCCTCATTTCCCAGAAGAGCCGCGAGCAGCCCGTCGCGGGTTCCTGAGGACACTCAGTCACGGGGAGGCCTGTGCCCTTGGGGACCTGAGAAGGGGCAGACGCGCCACACGCCCCAGCCCCACTGGGAGACACCTGAGGGAGCGGCAGGTGCCCCGCCCACCGGCTTCTGCCAGAAATCCCGCCCCCTCCCAGCAGCCTCAGGGCCCAGAAGTCACTCCCCCTCTTACGGTCATGTGCTCTGTTGTGATTGGCTGGCAGGACGCCTTCCGGTTTACCCAGCAGTACATCAGACCCGGAAGGCCTTTCCTCTACCTCTGTGGGGCTGCCATTTTGTTTTGGCCGCCATTTTAGGACAGGGTGCCACCACTGCATGGCAGGGAGCTGCCCGCCTTTTTAAACGTCGTACTGCTCGGTGATTGGCTGACAGCCGTTTCTTCGCAGTGTCATTCCCACGTGTTCTCGGGCAGCCCCGTGATTGGCGGGCAGGACTAGCTAGCAGCGTAGCCTGAGGCACATCAGGGAAGGACCGCCATGTCCTCCCCCATGGGAGACCACCGCTTTTGACAGTGTCATTCCCCCCACATGTTCTCAGACAGCCCTGTGATTGGCTGCCCACTTCCTTTGGACCAGGAAGCAGCCCTGTGATTGGCTGCCTGCCTCCTTTGGACCAGGAAGTGCTCATATATAAAAATATATACATTTATATACAATATCTATATTGTATATAAATGTATATTTTGTACTGCTATACAATACATAGAAGTATACATAAAGGAGTGTACAAATAGGTATAGTTATTTATTTATTTAGATATAGGTACGCTTTTTTATATATTCTTCTATATACATATAGCTGTGTATATATTTTTATATATATACACATTTATAAAGCTATAGAAGTTAAAATACATATAAAAACATAAAATGGCTGGGTTCCCCCACTTTACCATGTCTGGGGTGGGCAGAAACTTCATGAGGGCAGAGGGGTACCAAAAGGGTGGGGGGCATGGAGAAGTTGGAACATGCCCAGGGGCTACAGACCCCTCCAAGGAAGCCACCAAGGGGCCCCCAGCACAAATCCTGTCACATGCAAAGATAAGCCCCCACATCCGAGCCCAGCCCAGCAGGATGACAGGAGCACTGGGGCAAACTTTGGACTTTGCATGGGGCTGCAAGACACAGGCAACGCTGCCCGCGAATGCAGGAAACCAGAACAAAATGCCAACTTCAGAAGAACATGTGTGTGGGCACAATAAGGAAAAGACCCGAAGGGGATCCCCCAAAAGATGACATGGACCAGAAGAATGGGCCAATGGGCCCGTGAACCACAAACTGGATTTTGAGGTCAGCGTCACACAGAGATGGCGGGTGGGGGACCTCCCTTTCCCTGTGGTTGTGGGGCATCTGACAGCTACCTGTAAACCATTCTGGTGTGCAGGCTGGTGCTATGTGTGTTTCCTTGTCTTTCGGTTGATTACTTTATTGAACATTTCGTGTGGGCACAATAAGGAAAAGACCCGAAGGGGATCCCCCAAAAGATGACATGGACCAGAAGAATGGGCCAATGGGCCCGTGAACCACAAACTGGATTTTGAGGTCAGCGTCACACAGAGATGGCGGGTGGGGGACCTCCCTTTCCCTGTGGTTGTGGGGCATCTGACAGCTACCTGTAAACCATTCTGGTGTGCAGGCTGGTGCTATGTGTGTTTCCTTGTCTTTCGGTTGATTACTTTATTGAACATTTCAAAACAGCTTATCTGTACTAATTAACGGCTTTGTTTAACTATGTGTTTTGCTTCAGCATCCTGTGAACAGTAGCCGCAGCCTTCTCAGCACAGCTAGCACCTGTATGACCACCACCCTCTGACTTCTGACAGTCTCTGTCATAGCACCACCACCAGCGCTTTTATAACCAGCAGCCTGCTGGCTTCTCCTCTTTACCAGATAATAGTCATGGTCTTTCAGGTCTGCAACACCCCATTGCTTTTACTGATACACTTGCTGTGGTCTCTAAGAGCATGGGGCTTCTGTCTGTGCCCCAAAGCCTGGGTCTTGCTGTTTTTGCAGTCATCTGGACTGTCCACCAGGACAGTCTTGATTGCATGCTTGGTCTCTACCTCTTATTTGCAACATCGACCTAAGGACAAGGAAACCCATATAGCACCAACCTGCACTCCACCATGGTCTTAGAGGAAGCTGTAAGATCCCTCACAACAACAGGATTTCCAGCAGAAGCTGGTGGGTGCGGAACCTGTCACCTCTTATCCTGTATATCAGCAGTACCTATACTACTGACAAACGCAATATGAAAATACAGAGGGAAGCAGTGCCTCCCTGCAATCAGAGGTGAAAACAGATGTCTGCAGACCCCCTCCCTCCTGTACCCAGTGCCTCTCTCTCACAGCCCGAGTCAGGTTCCTCCTCCAATAGCTATTGAAAAGAGAAAGGACTGTTGCAACTCACCTAAAGACTTGGTCCTGGTGAGAAAGCGCGCCATGAAGGTGAGCACTGAAGTGGATGACACAACCAGGAAAAGAGGAGAAGAAAGGAGAGCACAGATGCAGGGAAGGATCGGCAGTTCCAGGTGTTCCTCTGCGTCTTGAGCTGCGCGTGCTAGTTGCTACCACCAGAAACACATCACCCAATAATAAAAGCTGTAATAAAACCAGGACAGGTTCCTCTTTGACAAATTAAGGAACGGTCAATTAAAGCAGCCCAGACGTTTTTTGTGGCTAAAGCATACCTTACCACTGAAAGCACCTCTGCACATGCGCTAGTCTGCTTCCTTTGCCAGTCTCAACCCACAGGATTTGCTTGTGATATGCTTTCTTCTCCACCTTGTGTCGCAGGAGGACAGCTCTGTTTGGGAAGGATGGGCAAAGCTGGCATGGATTGGAGGTGCAAGCATCAGGTCTGCGAGTTCCCCTGCCAGCTAATGGGCTTCATGGCGCAGCTGCCTCCGTCTCCACGCCAGGCCACGTCTCCTTGTCACCCTTACCAGGATCTCGAGCTAAAGCACGTCTTGGGACTGGTGACTTCAGCAATCACCATGAGCTTCAGAGTAGACGAGCACTTGAGCAAGACTGCCTGGGGGATCCCTCCTGTGTCCAGCACCACAGACCATGCTTTGGAGCGTCTCCAGCCCAGGTGAATAGGCATTGTACATCACGGTCAGTGGACATGAAGACGGTGTTTGTTTGCTATGGCCAGAGTTAATTGATCTTGCATCGAGCTTGGCTGCACTTGGCTGGGATATAAAAAAGCCATTATGTGTTATTATCAGTCTTAAATACATTCAGCTGTAAATATGGATTGTTGATCTGGAATTAAATTCACAGAAAGAGTTTTAATGCAGGTTGGGGCTGTTTTGGGTGGGCAAGGGGATTGTAAATGGGCAATACAGGGTGGAAAATTTTACATTTCCAGGCCTTCTACCAGCAGGTGTGTTTTTCCTGGTACAGAGTTGGAGGTCACCTGAAGTGTATCCAGGTGCCTCCTGCAGACTTGGGAGCACTCCAGCACAGGTGAGAGCAAAAAATACCCCATGGCATGAGGATGGGGGCCATAACTCATGGTTTGCTCACCCTAGGGTGACCCACACAGCCTGAGGTCTCATGGCTCTTCCTGGCCCTGAGAAGGTACCAGCCATTCAACTGCTCTGCCTAGAAATTCCACACTTGAGAAACTGTGACTTCTTGCCCTTTCCCCATGGCACAGGCTACACCTATACTAGTAACTTAAACAATACGAGGGCACAGGCTCTGGATTTAATTCACCTAAAGGCTGAAATTTGGAATGGTCCATGGCCCAGCTTTGGCATGATCCAGCTAGTGCTATGCCAAATGTGACCCAGGTGCAGTTTGGGAGTTACCAGGGCAAGCAACCATTCCCTACAGGTAGTCTGCATGTGTCCACTCCTTGGTTGCAAAAGGATTTCTCTGACATGAACATGACCCAGCCACACCAGTTAGCCTCCGGAGAACAGATTTGTCCTACAAGGGTAGATGCAGTCGTGAAGTTCAGGCGTTAGCCGGCTTTCTTGCTGAGGGTCCATGAGCTCTGCAGCCAGCAGCACAAATGAAGACCCCAGATGCAATTTTACTCAAGGCTGTAGAGGAGAAAGAAGATTTGAGTTTCCCAGCACCACAGGAAGCCCTGAGTTGAAGGATTCTGTAGCACCAGATAAGAGGCTTCAGGCAGGTAGAAAATTCAAGACTTTTGTACCCCAGGAAATCAGGACCATAAGGAACTTAAGCTCAGCAGGGGGAATTAATGTAAATGAAACAAATGAGCAAGTGTGGGGAAGCCATGGAAAACAGACACAGAGCTGTGGACTGCGAATTGTTGCAAGTGGCACACGTGACGTGAGGTGAGGTGACAGATCACTTAGTCCAGATCACCTTAGTTCAGGCAGGTGGAAAATTCAAGACTTTTGTACCCCGGAAAATCAGGACCATAAGGAACTTAAGCTCAGCAGGGGGAATTAATGTAAATTAAACAAATGAGCAAGTGTGGGGAAGCCATGGAAAACAATCACAGAGCTGTGGACTGAGAATTGTTGCAAGTGGCACACGTGATGTGAGGTGACAGATCACTTAGTCCAGAAGGTGATGTGAGATTGTAGCACGGACAGAACAAAGAGGCCATTCAGGTAATAGACTTGGCAGGACCAAACGTGGCTGACATGAAGACTTATTGTTATGTGATG